GAGAGTATTACGACTATACAAGATCTTATCTCTAAATAAAGTAAAGAGATAAAGACTAAATCTTCTTCATTGTACTTTACTTCTAAAGTCTCCAAATCAGCGACAATCTCCTAGAACACAGCCAGATGATCTTTCAAAGATCTGCCTTCTACCATGTGATGAGAATACAACATCTTTCTAGATGCAATTTGCTTGTAAAACTTTTAATCATGTACAAATGCTCCAACTTCAACCAAAATGTAGTTATCGTTTTCTCCTTCAAAACATTCTAAAGAATATTGTTAGAAAGTTAAAGATGAATATGTGAAAGTGTCTTCAAATCCTTCCGTTGTTCCTCCCCTGTTTTCCAAACTATGGATATTTTGTCAAATTTCAATAACGTATCATCCAAATCCATCTACACGAGTACAGCTCCCATCTTCATTTGCCACAACAAGAATCTTTTATTGCGATCCAAGAACAAAATCTCATACTTCATGATTGACATCAATAACAAAATTCTCGAATAAATCACAACCAATAGCTCTAATACCACTTTTTGAGAAATAAAACGGTTTGTGATAATTTATGACACGATATGAAGTCTATGATCGCAAATAAATAACAAGAGAAAAGGCAAAGAATTAATTGACAGAAGAACGAAAAATTAATTGTACATGTTAAAAGTTAAAGAATTAATTGGTAGAAAACAAATACAATAACTTTGCCTACACAATTATTCTATATTTCAGTAATACAAAATTTGTGAAAAGAACCTAATATTTTAGGGGTGCATGCCAAACTCTAAAAATACCACAAAGATGGAAACAAGATCAAAAATCACGTGGAATAAAGGAAACAATATTTTTCCAATAAAATCGTGTGTAATAATGGAAATAATATTTTTTCAATAAAAGCCAATCTAATTGGGTCATAAAAAACCCAACACTTAAGACACTTCGAATGGATGGTGTATGATGTATATTTTGTAGTGCTCAAGCTCAAGAAGCATACTTACTTTTATAGGCAAACACCCATCAAGCTACTACTACAGTGACCATATTTTCCAATCAATGGGTCCGTAGTTGAAACTCCATTAAACTGAAATTGATGGTAAAACGTTGGACCACAATAAATTGATCTGTTGAAGAAAACAGATTGGTTACATGGGCGACAATGCAATGAAATGTGGTGGTGGAGAGGGTTTGGATGATTTTCGGTGGAGATGGAATTTTAGATGTATACATTATTTGGAGAAATAAAATCCAAGGATAGAAGATTTCGAATTATGAAAGATCGGGTGGTGATGAACGTAATGTTCTCTTGAAATACTGATCTATATCTACGAATTTACTTATACTTGAGGCCGATATGCAGAAAAAATAGAAAAAATATGTGCTGTACATACAATATTAAGGTAAGAAAAATGTTAAATCTTATGTACTGCACTATAAAATTATGCTTTTAAAGTCAATCTGGATATTGAATTGAAAAGGTCAATGATTGAAATGTTTAACCAGGTCAAATCGAGGTTGAATCAAAAATTGAAAACAATAAATTAAATAAATTAATATATTGATATATACAGCATCTATTAAGTAAAACAGTATTTAAGACTCATTAATTAAATAAACTATTATTTCATAATCAACTTAGCCTGAAGTATAAACAGTTGGGCATATATACTTAAAGCACCTCCAACTCCAGTAGATTGATCTATATTTTTAAAGAGCATATTCTACAATTTAAAGAGTAAAAACTTTTAAATACTCTTACGGGCTCTTTATATTTAACATTTTATTTTACTATAAAAAATTATTTATTGGTTCTCCCTATTTTTTATTTTATATATGTGTGTGTGTGTGTAGTTATAGTCTTCAATTCATATGTGATTTTCATTCTTTATGTCATCTTATCAACACAAGAATTAATAGAAAAAGCATATTAAAAAAATAATAATAATAAATAAAAATAAACATTCAGTATCCAAAATCAAATATAAAGAAAAATGAATTCAAGAATCAAATCTGTTGATTAGGAAACAAAATCAAGAACAAGAATTAAAGAATCAAATGAGGCAAAATTCATGATTAAAAGTGAAGAAGCCAAACATGAAAAAATTGCATTTCAAGATTCAAGATCCCGTAATAAAGAATCATTACCAAAGAATTAAGGTATGTTCCGCATTAATTAATTTTTTTGGTGATTTGGCACGGAGATTTTGACAATTCATAAAGTTAAGTTTTTTAGTCTTTTCCCGAGAAAATAAAGATGATATTGTATTGGTGAAAGACTATCTGATCAATCAACTTTCATCAAGCAACGCAAAGGAATAATTCTCATTCTTACTAATATATATAAACGACGTCTGCTCGTGAGCCGGGCTCGGCTCGGCCCACGAGCCACGAGCTCATGGGCCGAGCCGAGCTCGCCCTTTTTGGACGAGCCGAGCTCGTGGTTACACGGCTCGGCCCATTGACATCCCTAGCTTTACTCCACTAATTAACAAACGTGAAAATTACATCACATCCTATTTTTAAAAATCAAGAAGTTTCATTATTCACAAATTATATTGAGTATACAATTTTCATCCAAATTCCTAATTAATTTCCCTTCTTTTCTCTCTCTGTATCTCTCCATGCCCACCTCTTTTTTCTTCCCAAATCCTAAAACCATTTCCACCATTTTCTCCCTCTTTTCATCTTCTCAATTTATTCTGTCTACTCTTACCTCTCCTTCTCTCTACCTCACAATTGCCACCTACAAAAACGCTGGGGAAGAGATGGAAGGTCGTCAAAACGAAGAGATATCATTCTATTTGCTGCAGATCTGACTGGCCGTCACCACAAACTCCGACCATCATCACCGTAGTTTTTTTTAATGAACTAATCTATGGAATTTACAGAGGAAGAACACAGCTTCAAAATTGCCAGGGGTGGTGAATTTTTTGTGGTTTGAGTAAAAGTACATGTGGAGGATAAAGAAGTTGCAAGAGATTTTAGGGCTTTTTTGACGGTTGCTGTAGGTGATGTAGCAGGAGATTTGTGTGTTGTGTTTTTGGTGTAGTGGTGGTGGCTGTTTGTTGGTGTTGGTGGTTGTGAGGATGGTGGCGGCGGTGGTTTTTGTTGTGGCGGAGGCGCTGCTGGTGGATCTGGCAATAACAGTGATTTTTGTTAGATTGCCAGTGGATCTTACGATGTTGTGACCAATAATTTGAATATCTTGTGACTGAAAAATAACGAGTGACCAATAACTTGTAACCGATAAAAGTTTTGATTTTTGTGACCAATGAATAATCTGTGACTTATAAATTTCTTTATTTATGATCGAAAAATAATTTGTGATCTATAAAAAAAATTTATTTATGACGGAAACCAATTTTTGATAAGTTGTGATTGAAAATTAATTTTTGACTATTTAATTAGATATTTTTGACCTTAAAATAAGTTGTGACTTGTAAAATTTGTGTTGAGTGACAAATAAATAATATGTGATCTATTAATTTGATGATCGATGAATAAATTTGATGTATAATATATTTGATTTGTAATTGTGAAATAAATTAACCTATAAATTTTTTTATTATGATCGAGAAATATTTTGTAACCAATTAATTTATAATTTGTGAGCAAATTGTATAGGATTACGACCTTAATATATTTAATTAATAAAATATATGTTTAATTAATTAGTTTATAAATAATATTTAAAAAAAAATCTGATTTTGAAATTTTTAAACTTTGTTTCTTAGTTTTGAGATGTATCATATTTAATCTCTTATATATGAATTTTTCCCTTAACAAACTCTGGTGTCAATGATGATATCCATAATTATAGGCCAAAATTTTTAGGTTTTTACCATCTTTATTCTCAAAATATTTTTTCTGATTTTTTTAATTGTTAGAGGTGAGGCCTTATAGATACATGCGGAGTCATGTAAGTCTAGATTTCATTATTATTAATGCGGGCATTAGTATTTTTTTTTTTTAAAGGAAAATGAGGAATGAAAAGTTTGGCTCATATTTATTATTGTTATAAATACTGAAACCTCTTTTCATTTATGTATTTTGAGAGATGAATAAGTATTACACACTTAGTAACTACTCAATTCTATTTAATTATTATTTAAATTGTTTATAAGCATTTTCAAACATTAACTAATATTTTAATTGTATGTCATTAAATGATAAGTTCACTTAAATGCAATGTCACATGATTTATTTAATTAACTTTATGCCCTTGTTTGAGCCATATTATTTTAGAAAAATGCATTTTTTGAATAGTGTATTGATGATAAATGTGCGTTTAAAAAATAGAAAAAATTTTGAATTTGCGTATGATATTATTTTCTTGAAGAATGTAATTAAAATCATATCAAATCATTATTTAAGAATGTATTTTTTCAAATAATATGAATCAAATATGTATCAACTAAATTAGGGCTATATTAATATTGATATTAAAGAACATTATTTATTTATTTATTATTTGTTTATGTTAGGGAAACTCACAGTCGCGATCATTACTCTTCGAATGCACACTAGATAAATCATCGTGCTGACGCATTAAAAAACATTATTTTATTCTAATCAATGGACTTTCAGTTCCTGCCACATTCTCTGACTTAGAAATCCTATCTCTGCAATTTCACCAAGCTTTCACCAAACTCAATTACCACGTGGCCATTTTGCATTTGTTAATAACCTCTATCCTACCATCACACATGTAACGAATTGACCATACGCAACATTTAAAGTGCATCCAAGCCGTAAAATTTAATCATCCTGGCGTCATAAAAAAGAACAGTAGTTGGCCGAATTCAAGGACCCACCTAACTACTTTTGTGGACCCTCACTGACCCGGTCTGCGGAATTTCACCAACCCCCGACCGGCTTGGCAGGCGGTCCAATTCCATCCACCCCATTAAAGGAAAACGCCACAAGTCCGAACCGGCTCCTAAATCCCATCTATATATAACCATTCATTTCCCCCCTTTCCATCTCAGGGACAACCACCACCACCAGCAGAAAATTTGAAAAACATAAGAAATTATTTAAGAAAATGTCAGTGGAAACCGGTGATCAGGGTAGACATCAAGAGGTTGGCCACAAGAGCCTTCTGCAGAGTGATGCTCTTTACCAGGTACTATAGGCTTTAAAAAATAAATAAATTCTTGTTCAATCCGAATTTTGCGTGTGGGTGTATTTGATTGGTGTTTGTGTGTTATTGTAGTATATTCTTGAAACTAGTGTCTACCCAAGAGAGCCAGAGGCCATGAAAGAACTCAGAGAATTGACTGCCAAGCATCCCTGGTGAGTTTCATCATTCTAGTCTGTCTATCCATTTCGGTTCGATCATCTCCTGCCTCTAGTGGGCAAGATAAAACTTTCTCACCGTCGACGTAGTAAAAAAACTTTAGTTCTGGTTTTTTGAAATGATCATAAATTTAGAAAACCATAACTAATGTTCTTTTGTCACGTCAGAGATCGAAAGTTTTTATCCAACTGTAGGAGATCAATTCTAAAGTTTTGATCCTGCGCACGGGGCAGAAGATCAATTCTATTAATTCAATACGTCATCGTTGGTTTATTGTTTGTGATTTGATTGTTATGTAGGAATATTATGACCTCCTCGGCTGATGAAGGGCAGTTCTTGAACATGCTATTGAAATTGATCAATGCCAAAAACACAATGGAAATTGGTGTTTACACTGGCTACTCTCTCCTGGCCACTGCCCTGGCACTTCCAGAGGATGGGAAGGTATCCAAATTTCCAGAACCTGGTTTAGAATTTTCATTCGAATGATTTCGATTATTCGATTCATTAACATATGAAAAGGGGGAAATAAGGCATTGAAATTGAAATTGAATTGAATTGAATATTTGATTTTGTGGGTTGGTTTCAATTGTGCAGATATTGGCAATGGATATTAACAGAGACAATTATGAATTGGGTTTGCACATAATTGAAAAGGCTGGAGTTGCCCACAAAATTGACTTCAAAGAAGGCCCTGCTTTGCCTGTTCTTGATCAGATGATTGAAGATGTGAGTCTCACCAACCCGCCCACCCACACACCCACTAAATTATTTTTCCTTATCTTTCTTTAACAAGACTATAAATACCATGTAAAAATTATACTGAGCCCCAATTTAGTAGAAATCAAATTTCAGATTTTAATCTAAATCAAAGTTAATAATTAATTTTAATTACATATTTTATGTGATACACGATTTTTTAACCACACATTTCATCAGTTTTTATCAAAATCTCCTAAAAATTTTATTTTAATTCCCACGAGATGGGGATCAATCTTATTTTTTGAATTAAAGAGAAATGGATATTAGTATTTTAACAATTGACGTAAATTTTATAATGCTTATGTTTGGTTTAATTTAAAAAATAATAAAATTTTAAATCAAAGTCAATAATTAATCTTAATTACACATTTTTATAGATGATAGAATCCACAATTTTTCAATTATACATTTATTGACTTTTATCAAAATATACTCAAAATTTGATTTTTAACTAAATCAAACAGAGACTTTATAAACTTAGTCCATTTTTGGTTTATATAAAAAGTTGATAAAATTTTAAATCAAAATAAATAATTAATTTCAACTACATATTTGATGAGAGTTATAATTTTTCAATCGCACATTTCGTAACTTTTATTAAAATCTTATAAAAATTGAATTCTAGTAAAAACAAACAAGGACTTAATACATGGACTATAAATAATGCACTCTTTTTTGAAATCGAATTTTTCTAAATATGCAAATTGCAGGCGAAGTATCATGGAACATTCGATTTTATATTTGTGGATGCTGACAAGGACAATTATATCAACTACCACAAGCGATTAATTGATTTGGTCAAAGTTGGGGGAGTGATTGGGTACGACAATACCTTGTGGAACGGGTCTGTAGTGGCCCCACCTGATGCACCAATGAGAAAGTATGTCAGGTATTACAGGGATTTTGTGTTGGAGCTTAACAAGGCTTTGGCTGCTGATCCAAGGATTGAGATCTGCATGCTACCAGTGGGTGATGGAATTACCCTGTGCCGCCGTCTTAGCTGAGCACTTCTTGAAAATTATTAATATTATCTTCTTTTTGCTTTTAACTTGTAATTGTAATTGTAATTGTATTTTAATATGGAGAGCAAACAAATCCCAAAAAGACAATAGTATTTCTCTCCACTTCTCTTTCGCTTCGCTTGGAACGAGCTACACGACCTGTACGGATGACTGTGGGGATGACCGCGCACACTCATATATGGAGGTCGGTATTTTTTTTTAATCACTTGGGACTCACCTCGACATGTGAGAGTGCAGTCACCCACTGTGTCGATCATGATGTTCGTTTGGCATTTTTCCGTTTCGAATTCAATTTTGAGTGTTTTCTTGTCCCACCAACTTTCCCACCATTTACTGAAAAAATATAATTCAAAAGTAAGCTATGGATTTGATTTGATGATGACTTGCAACCATCCAAGTTTATAAAATTATATCGTAAATATAAATATTTTATTCTCAATAAACACGTGAGAAAATAGAGTAGAGTTGTTAATGATCCAATAATTATCTTTATTTTATCTTCAATCACGATATATGGAAGATGTGATGTGATATGATTTTGAATTCATTAGGAGTAGACTCGGGCCCTTGGCTACAAATGTTAGACGAATATTTGAATGATCAGTACAAACATAAAATCAAACAAGTAATTTAGTTCTTTCCTATCATTCAATGGTTAGATAAATTGCAGAAATTTTTCATATAAGAATGTAATGAAGAAACCAAATTACAGTTGAACTCAAAAAATACAGAAGTAGATATTGGGTTTCCAAGCTAGCATGATCAATTGAGATTCAGATTCAACACGGACACACACACAAAAAAAAATAATAAATAAATAAATAAATAATAAAGACTTAAAATAAAAGGAAATTAAAATGATCTTTTTAGTATTCTTTCATAAATTACTTTTTAACACCTCTTTCCTATGTTTCACTATTTAAATAGACTCCTACCTATTGTGCAGGCAATAGAAACTAAAACCTACTTGTTTGATAATCATTATTTGAAAATTTTTTTTTTTCCATGTACTTATTTTCAATTACACATTCTTACAATAAAAATATTTTGCACGTAAATTCAAAATTTTTCCTACTTTTAATCACATGTTTTTTTAAAAATCACTATTCAAAATATTATTTTTTCCAAATACCTGAACTTTGAACGGGGGCTTAATATTTATTTATAGGGCTTTTTGACACATTTTGTGAGTTTAGTAGGTAACAAGGGATTGCATATTTGCATATGTTTAAATATACCTTATGCAAATATAGTCTTTACTTGGTTTGGATTAAAATTCAATTAAAGTCAACGATTAATTTTACTCATACACAAATTTCATTAATTTTTATCAAAATTTACTAAACATTTTATTTTAATCTATGTCAAATGGGGAGTTAATCTTGGTTTCAATTAACCAAGCCTCCCAATAAGTGTGTATGTTACAGGAAATGTTTGCCAGTCAACCATCCTTTCGAATAATCTCTGAACCATATTCTAGTTGCGGCTAACTATTATGCTTCTGTTTAGCTAAATTTATAAATAATTGTAAATTGTTAAATTTCATTTTCAATCACATATTTCAGCGGATTCATTAGTAACATTCACTTATTCATCAATTCTTTTTATTTAATTATAAATCTATTTATAAATACTTCCAAACAAAATTTAGGGAAATTTATAAAATACACGTGTTAGAAACAATGAAAAAAATATCGAATAATTTCGATATCGATTTGTTGTGAAAATAGATGAGAAAATAATGACACAATATGAAATAATTGATCACAAACTCAAGAATAAAATAATTAACAGATGAATTGAGATTTCACTAAAATATAGAGAAAAATTTGCATGATTTTGTGTTTTGATTTGTCTAAGTTGTAATGAGATTAAACAACCTAACTAAATTGTAGAATAGAACCAAACATATATAGGGGACAATGTAAACCCTAAAAATAAAGTTGTAGATGGAATGAGATGCCCATATCTTGTCCTCTTCATGTCCAACACAAATTTCAACTCCCAATTGAGCTTTTAAATATAATTTCAATTAGAATTTATCAAATAAATTTCAAATAAGATTCCAAATAGCATTCAAAATGGTTTTTTCTTGAGTCGGGTTTTTATAGGAATTCCCAATTATCTTTCAAATTGAATTCGGGTTACCCTCAATTTCTATCAAACTCCACTTTGATACGAGTTCCACTATAATGAGTAAATTTCAAAAATCCTCCACCTAAAGATGAACTCCACTGCAAGGAATGGACTTCAACTTTTCAACAAAAAATGCAACGAAACTTCTCCATCAAAAATCTCCAACTTGAAAATATTATTCACCTCTGCCACAAAACCTAAATGGGTTCAAACTCAAAAACTTGAGTAATCAAAATTTTCAAGAATACTCTTGAACATCAAAGTTGTTCGAATCACGAGCAACAAAATCAACCGTGATTGACAATCATCATAAAGGGCTTAAACAAGCTTTGTAATCGAATCACCACGAAATGCTTTAACTAAAGGATCTTTGCTAGAATCATCACCTTCTGCCACAAAAGAATCAGAATTAACTAAATCAATATCTTTGTATTTATATGGAGGCATATTCTCAAAAACGGGTTTGTTTCTAAAAATTGCATACAATGACATCGCTGATAACAATGGTAAAGTAGAATTATCAATAACTTTCGAATTTGACTTAAACGTATTCATCAAAGTAGACCCTAAACAAAACTCCAACGGTCTTGAACCAAACTCACGATTTACCTGAGCCCTTAAACTATACAGAACTATCAAAGATTCTATAGAACCTTGCAAGACATATAATTGAGACTTTTTCTTTCCCTACAACACAATGTGGACACCTTTAAGAACCTTCAAAGTTCTACATTCATTAATGAATTTGTACTCTTTCAAGTCAAAAGTACTTAAAGAGATAATATTTTTCTTCAAATTAAAAACATGTCTGTATCAAGTGTTCTAACACTTCCATTAATCAACTTAATTCTGACGCTTATGTACCAACTACCCAACAAGGTATATTATTATGGGTCATAATAATACCTTTGAAAACTTCTTCATATGTTGTAAACGAATCCTGATTAGAATATTTATGAAAAGTGAAAGACTTATTAAGAATCAAATCATTTTCAGATTGGAATTGTCGTTAGAAATCACCAAAAGATCTCCATCATTGTGAAAGGTTTTCCCAACACTGGCTTCACCTGAAGTATCTAATTGCTTTCTCTTCTGATTAGCAGCAGCTAAATTTTCTTTATTCTACAACTTATAACAATCATTAACCAAGTGCTCCTTCTTCTTACAATAATTACAGATTGTATTTGTGAAGTTGGAATTTAATTTGCCCCTTTTAGAACCACAATAAACAATAAGGCCATGTCCATGAGCATCAGTTTAAACGAGATGCTTCATCTTCTTCGTTGAATAAAGATTAATGGCGAGAGTTTCACAACTATATAGGATTGTGTCTCTAAACGACATATATAAAGCGGGCAACGAATACAACAAAAATAAATTCAAATCTTCTTCACCATATTTAACCACCAAGGTTTCAAGATCAACAACGGTTTCCTTAAACACGGCTAGGTTATTTTCATAAAATATACCTTCTATCATACAATGAGAATAAAGGCGTTACTTCCAGTGCAATTTTCCAATAAGAATTTTCGTCATTCGAATAATTTTGATACCAATTTGTTGTATTAATAGGCAAGAAAATAATATGACACAATATGAAATAATTGATAAAAAAAAACTCAAGAATAAAATAATTGGTAGGGAAATGGAAATTTCTCTAGAATATAGAGAAAAAATTACGACAATTTTGTGTTTTAATTTGTCTAACTTGTAATGAGATTAAATAACATAACTAAATTGTAGAGAATAATCA